CTCTACCTCCGTCCGTGTCGCGTCGTACCGTCACCGACTAAGGAGAGGAGAGAGAGAGAGGAGAGAGAGAGAGAGTTTATTCCTTGTGTGTAGAGTTTCTTATTGATTTCAGAATTGGATCTCAATTCCTTTCCGTATTCTGGCTGATTTAGAGGGAGGGAGGTTATTCTTTGTGTAAAGTTTCATGCTGATTTTAGAGTTGGGTCTCAATTCCTGACCATTTTCGAGCTTATTTTTTATACTTGGCTCTTGTGCTTTTCTACTTTCTAACAATGTCATCAGGATCGGCTTGCCATCAAGCCGACGGAGTCATTGGTTCAGTCAGAGTGGACCTGTTCACTTATCATACTAGTCAAATTCTAAACAAGATTTAAAATTAAAAAAAATACAAATAAATTGATAAAAATAGAAAAAACCTGAAAACATAACAAAATCCAAAAAATAAGAAAGTTTTTCGCAATAATAAGAGAACTATAAATGCATAGAAAATAGCAATACATATAACATGAAGCACTCCACTAATACTATCACATGAGGCACTCCACTGAGGCATTAACTCACTAAAAGATGTCCAATTAGGGGATGAATTTGAAGGGTATTAAGCAAGTAATTTAGTAAAGTACTAAAGTAAATCTCATCATTATCCATAAAAATTGCTAAGTCCACATTCAATATCCAATGACATAAACCATGAAGGCATAAAGCATAAATCAACCCCGAAACTAGATGCTACATAAACGGTTACATATATATAAATAATAAAATAGATGTGAGACATATGTAATTTTCATCATCTTTCTCCTTCTTCCTCTTCATTTATGCCTTCTCATCATCATCATTGATATCCCCTCTAGTGAAACCCTCTAAATCATCATCTCCATCGCCAATGAGAAAAATTATGTATTACCAAGTTACTATTTACTGACAAACCGTTGGAGTCCCAGAATCTTGATTCCTAAAGTATCTAAATTTCCAAATGAAGTACTTAGCTGAAAATTTACCTCCTTGTGGTGGTTCTGTCTCCATCTAGTTATCTAATTGCTTTTCCATTCCTTATGAGAATTGGGTGCTCTTGCTAGACAACCCATTCTTCAACAATATTAATCTTCTCTAGGTTAATTGTGTCTCAGCACTCCAGTCCTTGGAAGGTCCTAGTCCTACATTCATATTATTCTAGCAGCTTAGAACTTTAAGCGCTCTAGCAATTGTACCGTAATAGAAAATACTATAAGAGTTTATTACTATAGTTTGTTGTCAACTTGTTATTTCCTTTGCCTCAGCTTCAAATTATTTTGCACAAAGATCAAGTTGTTGAGCCTCTTATGCTCCAACCTATTTGACTGATTTGTAGAGATGCATTTAATATGCTTGAATTAAAGCTGGTTGATGATATGAATGATGTATTTTTGAAGGTTTGGACTTAGGACGATCCCCAACAAATCATTCTCATAATTCATCTAAAATCGAATAATAGATAAAATAACATTAGAGGTTGTAACTTGCAGTAATCTTTAAGACATATACTTTGAAATTGATTTATAAAGTAACAACTAGAGCAATGGAACTTTGAAGTTGGAACTTAGAAGAGGATAAACTGAATTACAGGGGAGAATATTTTCCATCAGTATTTACATCTTTCGCCCATAATCTCTCTGATCCTCATCATACAAGCTCTTCTCCTCCTTAATCTTTACTTGCATAGTCTATTAAGATGCAACATCTCAATCATGGTATGCAAGTCTTTAAAGATCTCAGAATGGCTTAAAATGTGACTTTATTGCAAAAAACGTTGTTGAGCCAATAAGCAGATTCATGTATTGGGTGATTGTTGGGGACTGCGGGCTTTTAAAGGCCTTTAGGACATGCAAAAATTGTGACATAGTGATACTGTATTCCAGTGGGTATGGTTTGTGTGAGATTAGAGAGGGATGCTTCATGCTCTGGGCTCACTTGGGCTTTAGCAGTCTAGGCCCGGGAATGGAGTCCAAAACCCTGTGGCCCTGAGCATAAGGCACAATCGTGGAGGGTTTGTAGGGTTAGCCCTTGTTGAGGTCAGAGAGATGTTCTAAGTGGTTTGGCCAAGAGATCGTCAGGTCTCCTGTTTGTGGTTGGTGGGCTTATGAGGGCAAGAACCAAAATCCTCTACATTACCACCTCATGGCATGTACATATGATAGCCACGTTTATGGGAAGTGACTCATTGGGGTATGACTTGTACGTGTGCTAAAGAGAGTCCTCTTGCACTATTGCGATAGTTTGACTTAGTCCTTGGGGAAACCTGAAGTCCACACACTAGGCCGTGTGCCTGTCATTTATGGCTCAACTTTGATGCGCCAAGCATGAGCCCCTGTGGTAGGCTGTGGAATATGGGTTCTAATTATGAAGAAGGAAATGCATTAGTTGTAGTACGTGAAATACAATCCTTTGAGATCAACGGAGAATTCAAGTTTTAGTTTAGTTTTTCAGAGTTCGATAGTTCAAATTCCTCTACAAATTGTACTCCAAGTGTCTTCTCAGTTGGATCATAAAGAAGTACCCAGGAGAATGGTGGGACTTCGTCACCAACTTTTAAGACGACCTCTAAAAGATTTGAGTTCCATAAAGCTCGAGGCCAATCTTCTCCTAACTCTGGGAGAATGATGCAGATAAAAATTAGGAAAAAAATCCAAAATTAAATCTTATTATTTTTTTGAGTTTATTTTTTTAGCAAATGGGTAGGATGGAAAGTTTCCAATTTTTAGAGTTGACGGGGGTATTTCTTGTTTACTTGATTCGGCTCATGAATGAGGTTGGTGTGTTTAACATGGCTTAAAATGGAAAAGTCCTATTTTCATAGACTTAGGAGATTTAGTTAGAGATTCATGGGAGATTTATGGGGCCTCATGCTGGGATAAGAAGAATTTGTATAAGAATTGAGAAATTTAAAGATTTTAGATTTGAGAAAAATCAAATGTCGGTAGAGATTGAAAAAAGGAGTAAAAATAGAGAGAGAGAGAGAGAGAGAGAGAGAGAGAGAGAGAGAGTATTAGTGT